AAAAACGTCAGACAAAATGGTAGTGGGGGACACTCAGCAGGATACCTGGCAGTGATTCCTCCCAACTGGCAAGGCCATGAAAATAAAGGCAGGATAAGAAACTGTCACAAAGGCTGGAGCCTGGGGGAACCTGGGAGCAAAATGTTACATAGTACCCTGGATCAAATCCTAGATCTAGAGAAGATACTTTGGAAAAATCGATGAAATTTAGAGAAGGTCTGGAGCTTGGTTACTAGGAATACACTTAGGTGAGTGTCCGAGTTTTGACCAATGTCCCAAAGTCATCAGAGATGTTAGCCATGAGAAGAGGTCATGGGAAGAGGATGTGAGAACTCTGTTTTATCTTTCCAAGTTTTCTGTGATCTGATTTTTTAAAGTGTTTTTTAAAAAAACTAAAATATCTAGTCCAATTTAATTATCAGCCTTTCAGATTTTATTTACAGTTGAAGCTTCTCCCTACTCCCAGCTCAGAATTGCTTTAGGCTCTAAGGAGAGGCTTATCTACCCCACTCTTGAAAATGGAAAGAACAACTGGCTTTCTCCTGATACAATCATTTAAATTGGAAAGGCAATGAGGAGGAAACAAGTTCTCAGATCACTTAGGTAGAGCCCAACCGATGATCCCTGAGGACCCTGCTTGTAAAATCACTGGTCACCGTGGCATCGTTGCACTGATGGCCTCAAATGTTTGATATATAGACTCTAAGAATGGAATGAGAATCTTAACCTCTTTCCTTGTGCCCTGTCTTTGGTTTTGACCTTCAAGGGCCCAGAGTGTCAGCTTTAAGAAGAATGCACATGAACAGCCCATGGATCTTGCCTGAGCATCTGCCAGGTCCATCAAAGGAGTGTGGGCTGTGAGGGAAGGTGCTGTCTATCAGCTTTGCTTCCAGCATGACCTGCTCCTCCCGGGTGGGTGCTCTTGAGACTACATGCTGCAAGCTCATCCAATCGTGGGTATTCAAAAGATCTTCTGAAATGAAAATTTCAGTTGGAATCTTTGGGATATGTTTTAGATAAAGTGTCTAAGAAAGAATTAAGAGCTCATTAATTTAGAATCAAATTTCCTCCTACAAAAAGAAAATCTTTGTTCCTTTTTGAGAAGATAAAAGGGTTTTGATTGTGGATTAAAATTTTGCTGCTTCAGCTAAAACTACCAAGCCATGGCGGACTGAGGAAGAATGTTGAAAATAGAATTATACCTGAACTGAAATATGCCTGCAGGTTGTACGAAACCCCCTGCCCAAGGCTAACATGGGAAAGGCAAGCCTTGCTTCCTCCCACGGCTTCTCTGAGCCCCTTCCACCTCCCAATGCTGCCTTTCCCCTTAATTTAAGGAATTATTGTAATAGGTTTTCTTATGTTAAATCATTCTTGAATTTCTCTGTTAAGTCTGGCTTTATCCTGACTGTATCTAACTTTGGGATTTGATTTATTAATATTTTATTAATCATTTTTTGGTCTCCACATCTCTAGACATTCAGATCAATTCTTGCTAAAACAGGCTGAGATTTTGGATGTGTCCACCACCTTCTCCCTCATCTTGACATAAATGGGACACATGAAGTGTCATTTAACCAGTGTCCTCTGCTTAGGCCTTAGAATAGATTAAAGCATTTCTCCCAAAACCAAATTGCAGGGTTAGGGGTTCGAGGAAAGTAGATGTGAATTTTTAAATATTTACTCCATTTAATATAAGACTTTGTCAACAGGTGACCATTTTTTCAATTCAAACAGTGACTAGTCATCCATGTTACAGACTCCTCAAAAAGCCTTACTGGAAATTTCAGAATTTAATAGTCATGAGATTTCTAACTTGAAATTTATCCCAAGCAGGAAACAAAACCCTTCTAAGAAATTAATTCAGCCTGCCTAAAAATATATATGAAAACGATACCTACGCTCATATGCGTATTGCAGCACTCTTCACAATAACAAAGCTGTGGAATCAACCTAAGTGTCCATCAGTGGAGGATTACATAAAGCAAATGTGGTATATGTACATCATGGAATAATACTCAGCCATAAAAAAGAAAAAATCACACCTTTTGCAGCAACATGGATGGAACTGGAGGCCATTATTAAGAGTGAAATGAATCAGATACAGAAAGACAAATACTGATTGTTTTCTCTTATAAAAGGGAGTGAAATAGTACGTGCACATGGACGTAGAGTGTGGAATGATAGACAACAGAGACTTGGAAGGGTATAGAGGTGGGGGCTGGATGAGGAGAAATTACTTAATGGGTGCAATATACGTTATTCTGGTGATGAATGCCCTAAATGGTGACTTCACCATGGCACAATCTATGCATGAAATAGAACTGTATTTATATTCCATAAAATTATACATATTCAGGGTGGCACCTGTGGTTCAGTGAGTAGGGCTCCAGCCCCATATAACAAAGGTGGCAGGTTCAAACCTGGCTCTGGCCAAACTGCAACAAAAAATAGCTGGGTGTTGTGGCAAGCACCTGTAGTCCCAGCTACTCGGGAGGCTGAGGCAAGAGAATCACCTAAGCCCAAGAGCTGGAGGTTGCTGTGAGCTATGATGTCATAGCACTCTACTGTGGGTGACAAGGTTATACTCTGTCTCAAAAAAAAATTATACATATTCTAAAAAAGGAAATTAATTCA